TGGAAATGGATTTAATGTCAGTTTATACATGTGAAACCCGACATAACACGATGCATGAATGAGGCCGGCTCTCTAGGGAGCTCTATGCTCGATGAATTCGTATGGTTTAAATAGAACTCGTTTATGTCGACGTTGTTTGTTTAAAGAAAACCTATTCGACTTTTATGTTCAAACACTAATTGTCGTGGTAGTCTACTCTACGACATAGGTTGTTGTTGTGTTGTATAAAGGTGACTTTTTATTAACAACTGGGTGACCCGCACATCTTCCTGATCAGCAACCAATTTTTGCCACCTTTTTCATTGATGCTCCAATCCTATTGATCGTAGCATGATGTGAAGCAGCTCACAACCTTCTTTGATAAATGGACTAACTAACGCTACGAGAATTTTTAATTAGAACAATTAGTTCCTGAAATTAACACATTCAACCAAACAAACCAATTCTTTAACTAAAAAATATTAATCTTAGTGGCCTGTCCAATTACAGTATGGAGATGTATGTACCGCAGCCTCCTCAAGCTTAGTACCATTTCCTATTCGGAACTCGCGGTGTCTTTAATTCCTTCTTCTTTGCTTCGTCTAACAATTATTATAATTCCACGAAGGCTTGGCAGGTAGGCATAATGTGACACTAAATAAATTCAAAATGGCTATAACATATTTCAACAAAACTTAATCGAGTTTTACATGTGAATAAATCGATTCATAATCGAATTTTTTACATCAATCAATTAATTTATTTAAAAGTAAATACTTCCTTTTTCATATAAATTATAAATTGTAAAAAAATATAAATTGCCTGCTGTGCTTAATTGATTCGCCGCAGCACTTATGTGTTCCATTTTAAAAGGCGCAAATATATCACCAGTTTATCGAGGAGAACAGACATTTATAGACGGGAACTCCATTAATAGTATTAATAGGTTGTCGGCTTTAATGTACGTATGTATCTCTTCTATTTGCCTTTAAATTGGGTAATTCTTGTAGTGGAGAATAAAAGAGGTCTTGATACCACCCTGGTAGCTAATATTATTAGAAATAAATAATTCTTTAACTAATAACGCACACTACCCTCACACATACACACACACATAAATACACACACTCATCTATATACATATGTTCCTATACATCTTTTTATTTTGTCATACCTTTAATATATTTTGTTTGGTTACTACTTCCAGCTCATATTGTCCACAATATCTAAGAGTTGATGTATATATGTATCTTACTAATTCAAATACCAGTCTCTCATTAAGGTCAATATCAAATACTATAGATTTTATATAGGAGCAGTTATTTTGTATTAGTAGTAGTTAAACTATGTGAAAGAACCTGAAAATCAGTATAATTACTAACTAGCTTTTGCCCGCGGCTCCGACCGCGTGCATATCAGTTACCGCACTGAAAATCTACTTTCTCAAGAATCAAACTACTAAATCTTATCTAAATCGGTACAGCGGTTATTGATTCCCCATACAAACTTTCAACCCCTTTTTTACCCCGTTCACAATTTCTGGGATAAAATCTATGCTATGCCTTTTCCGAACTCAAACTGTGTCTATATCAAATTGCATCTGATTGGGTTCAGCGATGTAAGCGTGAAGAGGTAATAGACAGACAGACACACCGTCGCATTTATAATATTAGTGTGGATTGTTTTAAATAAAACTGCCGTTCGAAAATCTTTATATCGCGATACAGGATTATCAATTCTCATTCAGTAGTTACTCCGTAGTTCGGTGTGTCTTCATTAGATGGCGCTGTAGTATGTTTCTGTTTCTTTGCATGTAGGTGTCGCCACAGTAAACCTAACAACTATCAGTAGCGTTCGGATCTCAACGAAATAGCATTGCAAGCTTCAATAGGTGTATTTTAAAAGTTTAATTAGACACTATTTCAAGAGTTACCTATTATCTTTTACATTTTTACCTGAGTATAAATTGTCTTTATAAGTCAATTTACGTTTACGATCACATTAATATTTAACAAGCAAATAACTTGAGTGTCTCGTCAGCTAAGAAAAAAATCCTTTGATATATTGCATCGTTAGTCGCACCATCTCCTCGGGAACTCAGGATTGTTAATCGGGCAATTTGTCACGATCGCGCTTGGTATTCACTGAGAACGAACAATTCGAATTTCGCGAACGATTTCTAAAGGGAATCGAGTCGAAATATAACTGGCTGATCATGATTCTCGTTTGTTATGTTAAAATATTTTTATATTTTGACACTGTTTGAATAACGCGCCAGTATTTCTCACCTTACGCTGATTTTTATATGAGATTTTTTTATACTTATACGTTAGTATTCTATAAAGGTTTTTTTTAATCGTAACAATTTGTTGTTGTAAACCTAATTACTACCTATACTCGTACTCGTATAAAGTTACTAGCTGACCCGGCAAACGTTGTTTTGCCATATACATTGTGTCTAGGAAATACTAAAAAAATAATTTAGGGGTGGGTACCCTTGTCATTTAGGGGTATGAAAAATAGATGTTGGCTGATTCTCAGACCTACCCGATGTGCACACAAAATTTTATAAAAATCGGTCCAGCCGTTTAGGAGGAATTTGGTAAATAACATTGTGACACGAGAATTTTATATACATATAAGATAAAGTCAGACAATTCTACTACCTAACTTTCTTAAAAAAATACATCCATTTTATCCAATAAAATGTGTGATTTTATACCTTTCATTGAATTCGAATCACACGTCTCAGTGCGTGTGTCCAAACTACTAGCTGTTGAAGAAATATTTGTTTTGTTGCCCCTACCTATTTAAACCCCTCCTAACTGCACTTGACTTGACTGCACGGATGGCGTAGTGGTTTAAGCGGTTGCCACGCCGCTTACAACTACGCCGAGTGTTGTGGATCCCCACATAGGACGACACTTTGTATATTCCACAAATTGTTGTTTTGAATCAGGGTGTTTTTTGTGTCCGTTTCATGTATGTTTGTAAAGTCCCCCGCGATACAGGATATATTCCTAATGCGGGAGTTGTCTTTTAAAAAAAAAAACTATTGAGGGTCTCAAAAGGCAACAACGCACCTATGGCTCTTCAGTTGCCATCCAGTTGTGTCCATGGGTGGTGGTAGACACTTACCATCAGGTGACCTGTTTGCCTCCTTGTATCAATAAAAAAAAATGTACATAACTAAAAAAATACAAATTTTAACAACATTCTAAATCGCGTTACTCTATTTATTTTTTGGACAGCAAAATAATAGAGTTGTTAAATAGAGCGACTGAAATCTGCGCTGCCTGAATGCTGTGCCAAGTTTCGATCGGCTTTCTGACTACACGGTATTAATATTCTTTTTACGTTCACTATCTTTGCTTATGTCTTAATTTTGTTATATTTTATGTGTTGTTATTTTTATGTAAATAATTTTATAGGTTTACGTGCAGTGGCGGTGTACCATTCACATTGTACGCTGTCATTGCAGCTTTAATATAGCCTTTTTATCCATAAAAATGTGTTTATGTACGTATGTGTGTTGAATGTAGTGCTATCATGAACAAGAACACGAAAGATTTCAATATAATTATTCAGCACATGTACTTACATAGACATATTTTATGGGTAAAAAGTATTATATTATTATTATACCTATACATTTATTTGAGTGCGATCAATTGGTATTACATATCTTTGAATTTTCTGACGTTTCGACCAGGTTTTAATGGCCATGGTCACAAGTTTATTAGCTCATTGGTACTAACAGCGTCTATTTTCTGTAAGCAAACCGATGGCCTCCAGGTTGACCAGAAGGTCTCGTAATAAAATTATTAAATATCCAACGTTGAACGTAATGTGATTTTATCGTATTTAAACTGATAATTGAATCGGTAATCTACTTGTCTTAGTAATACTTTACTATTTTACTATGAAAATACCTTTTATGACAGTTCTGAGATTAAAAGTAGATCGGAACTGAATTGAGACCGAACTTTTATTACGAGAATTGACCTTCTGATTATATGACCCGATGTTCAGGTTTCAAACCAATAGCGTATGTTAGTAATTTATGAATATGAATACTTACATGAAGAATAGTAATTACCTATATTTGTGGTAATCCCAATAATACCTAACTGTGGCTGTCGATAGCTGACGTCGGATCCAAGACATTTGGTTTAGTGAGAGAGTACAAGGAGACAGCTATAACAATATTTTGTACATAAAAAGTATCGGGTGATTTTCTATAATAATTACATATCCGCCAACTTTTTTTTTTCTAGATATATAGCACATAAAGTTACCTCTTATCTTGTATCTGGGTATAATTCATCTATGAAATGTATTATCTTTTTACGTTACCATGGCACAGACTCGACCTCATTTGTGATGAGACGGCCGTGTGTGAGTTGTGTTAAGTTATAAAATTAACCTCTCGACATGCTTCCCATTATCACCGGTTACGTTAGATAGAAAGGATTACGTTTATTCTCAATTGAGGAGAAAAAAAAACATTTCTTCATTGATGTGGCGCGTACCCATAATGTCTAATAAATTTTGTGTCGGTCGTTTCGGTGCAAAGTAAAGTCCGTGCGACGCAGAGATAAGTCTTTAATGTAGGTGACATTTTATAGCCATATAAATACATGGAACAGAACTAACGCTTCTTATCTTACAGTAACCAAGTCTTAAAATGTTTAATCACTGTAAGAACTATAGTAAAAAGTCACTATAACACGCAAAGACAAAAGAATGCTCAATCTTTTGTTAAACGAAAATACCTTTCCATTGGTTGGTTAAGTTCGTACAAGAAGATAAACTATTTGATTCCAGCTCAGTTTTATTCTAAAATGGAGCTAATCTGGAATAGAATTTATCATCTACTTTTAAGGTGTCGTTTTGGGAATATTCATTGTTTTGCGTTCAACAGATCATTCACTGTCACGCTGTATACCTATACATATTTAGCCTTAATCACCACTGACGTTGAGTATAAACAAAGTCTATTCAGTCTAACAAAATCCATAATGTTGTCAACAGGTCTAAATCCGGATCGGAGTGTCAAAGCAGAGTCACTAGATATGGTGAAAGTACCAGCAGTGGCGGGCGGCGACGCAACACTCCCGTGTGACACCCGGTCCACGCAGGCGTCCGACGTTCTCTTACTCGTCGTGTGGTACAAAAATGATGTACCTTTGTACAGGTCAGTTAAAAATGTAATAATAGAAGAAAATAATAATATTATAGAATTTTTAAAATATATTTTAAATACCAGTAATTTGTATTCTCATTGTGCCACGGGATATTCCGGTTCTTTTGATGAAAAAATATAAAAAAATACCCAAGCAAAAATGTTAGGTATTTCTTGCTTGCAGCTATTTCTAGATAAACCCTCGAGAGATAAAATCAATGAAATATAACATGAATTGAATTGAACTAGAACAAGAAACCATGGGAGAGCCATGCATCGATAGAAATAGGCCGGGTCGACTTGGTATTACCACGACCTCGGCGAAAACGGCTGTTGAGCAGCTCTTTCGTTACTTTTCATCCATTGAGTAAGATTATCGAAGGATTCAAACCTTTAAAAAGGACTTAAAAAAGTAAATATTTGTTTGTTTGTATATTATGTGCAGTTTTTCAAATCATCAAACATTTTGCATTTGATTTCGATTGATAGAAATTATTAATTCCATTCCCTTTTAAGCAAGCGTAGCTAAAAGCACAAGCTGATATCAACTGAATGAAACTAAATAGTTTTTGGTAAAACGCGCTAATCTCTGAAACTACCAAAAAGTATTTTGATAACCTAATTCCTTTAAAAGATTTAATGTTATTTAATACCGTGTTAAGACTAAGTGACTTACGTTAGAAGTGTTTTATTCATTGCGGTAATTACATTATTATCGACGCATTCTCCAGCGAGTCAATTCCCGCACATCTAATACGGCTAATGGTAGTCTAGACACTAATTTTTGTAACAGCCAAGCGATTCTATCAGACTCCCGTGGGTAGTGCTGTCTTTTATTAGACAGTGATAGACAATTAACTAATGTCTTTATATAAACTTACTGTTTGGACTTCTATTAAGTTACAGTATCCACGTTTTCAGACAGCTGTCTGAATTAAAACCTGAGACCCTTGATATAGACACCCTTAATCAAAAGCTTAACCAAGGCATGATGGAGGCCGCGCTAAATGTAGCGAATAAGAATAGCACTCGTCAAGGAAAACTATCAGCGGAGACTAAAGGATTACTGCAGAAGAGACGCGACATGATAAAGGAGGGTTTAAAGGGATCAGATGAATTCAAACAGCTTTGCGGGGAAACAAGACAGAAAGTAGAAGAAGATATAGAAAAATTCAAAGAAAAGACAGTGGAGGAGGTTATCAGACGATATAAAGGACCGAAAGTATTTTGTAGAGAACTTCAACCAGGTACCCTACAAATTACGAAATTAAAAGATAAGGAAGGAAACTTGATCGCAGACAGGAAAAAGTTATTAAAGGTTATAGAAGACTACTACACAACACTTTACACCTCATACTCAAATGCACCACCGAACACGAATAAATCTAAAATCACTAATGTCGGGTCAGAAGATATCCCTGACATAACTAAGGCTGAAATAAAACTGGCCCTGTCTGTGATGAAGAATGGTAAAGCAGGAGGAGATGACGAAATCTTGCCTGAACAACTCAAAGAAGGGGATAACACTCTCATAGAATCACTAGCCATACTTTTTAACAAATGCCTTCATCTGGGTAAAATTCCGGAACAATGGAACAGCGCAATGGTCATAATTTTATTTAAAAAAGGATGTAAAGCCGACCTGAACAACTATAGACCAATAAGTTTACTATCACAAACATATAAATTGCTCTCGAAAATACTTACTACAAGAATCACCAGCAAACTTGACTTCTACCAGCCGGAAGAGCAGGCCGGTTTTAGGCGCGGGTACAGTACAGTAGACCATATCCTAACCATGCGAATGCTCATTGAAAAAGCCACGGAATACCAAATGCCCTTATGGTTTGCGTTCGTTGACTACAAAAAAGCGTTCGATATCGTAGAGGCTTGGGCGGTACAAGGATCGTTAAGAAGCGCAAGAGTAGACAACAGATACAACCATCTAATAGCTGAGATCTACAAAAACGCAACTATGAAGGTATCAATTCCGCAATCTACTAGGCCCATAAAGATCAGAAGGGGCGTAAGACAAGGCGATTCCCTGTCTCCGAAACTCTTCACCCTGGTTATCGAGGACCTATTTAAAAAACTAAACTGGCAGGATAAGGGCATCTCTGTAATGGGTACACGTCTAACAAACTTAAGATATGCAGATGACATCGTCCTATTTGCTGACACGCCACAAGATCTCCAGTGCATGATACAGGAACTACACGTGGTATCCTCTGAAGTAGGTCTAGAGATGAATCTCGATAAGACCAAAGTGATGACCACAGAATCGGAGGATACGGCGGAAATATTAGTGGATGGGACAGTAATTGAACGAGTTTGCAAGTACGTGTATCTAGGACAGGAAATTAAAATGGGAAAAGAGAACCAGGAGAATGAGATTAACCGAAGGATCAGACTGGGGTGGGCAGCCTACTCCAAACTCAATTTTGTATTCAAAATGAACCTGTCAGCACAACAAAAGGCTCAGATCTTTGACCAATGCATACTACCAGTCCTTACATACGGCGCTGAAACTTGGGTTACGACTAAAGCCATTCTGTATAAACTACAAGTAGCGCAAAGGGCAATGGAAAGAAAAATGGTGGGTGTGACATTGAGGGACAGAAAGACCAATACGTGGCTTCGTAAACAGAGCAAAGTATCAGACGTTGTAGAAAGGGTAGCAAAGTTGAAGTGGGAGTGGGCTGGTCATGTAGCGAGAAAGCAAAACTCTTGGTGTAAAAGAGTGTTGGAATGGAGACCATGGGACCAGAAAAGACCTCGAGGGCGACCACAGATGAGATGGAAGGATGACATCAAAAAAGTGGCGGGCAGCAACTGGATCCTAATTGCCCAAGACAGAGGAAAGTGGAGAGGATTAAAGGAGGCCTACACCAAATATTTGGTCGATTAAGGCTAAAGAAGAAGAAGATCCACGTTTTATCAGTGTGTTCATTAATAAAAGCATATTTATGGGGAAAGCTGCAATTTCTAGTTCTAAAACTAAATAAAAAGTTCTTTTTTTTTTAAGAAATGTATTATATTTTATAAACAAAATTATAGTTGTCTCTCGCCACGTAGTATATATTTATACAAGAAAATAAGAAACAAATTGTCTACCTACTTGTTGTTTTAAAATTAAAATTATTTTAAAGATAAAATCATGGCAATTAATTCCAGTCTACTTAAATTTCCAAGACATTTTATCAAGATTAGTAAAAGCATAGTAGACTCTTGAAGTTAAAGACATGTGACAAATCTATATTTATTATATAGTATGATTGAAGTTTTATTTATATTAGAATGAAACATAATAATTTGAAGTGTTTATTTTGTATCGAATTTTCCAAAGAGTATGTTATTAGTTGCTCTATATTTTTGACTTAGACTTGCCTATAGCATTAATTATCGACTTTCATTCGTGTTGTTGGAAATGCTTAACACATAACACTTGTAATTATTTCAATATTTGAACGACACTTTAAAATTATAGTTTCTTTGCGTTCTTTTTGTTATTATTGAAGTGTTTTTCTCATTTTAGTGAATTTATTTTAATTCTTAGTAAGAAATAAAGATCTTAAACCTTAAAAGATGAAATAATAAATAGGCATTTATATATTTATGAAACTAAACGGTCATTGTATTTAAAATTGTATCCTTGACTATATACAGCTATGAATGAAAGGTTTAGTTTAGATATTAAGGGAAATCGTAAACAGTTCATTTCAAGGCTTAACTTCTATTATGTAAATATTCTTATGATGATCAGAACATGAACTTTTCTCGTATATGTCATCATAATAAAATATAGTTAAATAGGACTTTCAACTGACTAATATAGACCCGTCCGTGTGGTGATGGATTAAAAATACGGAGTGTCACCACCCTTGTTCATACCGTGGGTGCTGTAAGAGAAACGCACTACAAAGAAAGAAAACTTAAAATAAACCATATACCAGGTTGGTATATGGTTTTTTTCTAGTCTGGCTAGCGTGGTAAAGTAGGCTGAAAACTCTTTTCTAAGGAGAAGCCTATGTCTAGCAGTAGACTATTAGTTTGTTGATCATGATGATGCTGAACATAAATTAATTCTATAATATAGTGCTTAACGGCCATGGTTCCGTATGCACAATTTTCGTCAACGTGAGTTCAATCAATTTTCGTCAAAGATTTAATTTAATCGTTCAGAAGAAAAATAAGTAGTATATTTAAAGTCATGTTAAAGTGGTGTTAATTATAGATACCAATTACAAAAATGTCTAGCGTAAAAATATTTACTCAATCAATTCAAATGTAACCTCCCGAATAAATGAAAATATTTTCACGAAAACTCAATTCGATGAGTCATATTGACGCCACAAAAATCCCTAAACTCTCATGTTGGAGAAAGAAATGTGTTTACCTTAGCTGCTGTCAGTCAACAGATAATTAACACGTAGTAGAGGTAACAGCGTCAAGCTCCGCAGGTCGTTGTTCTGGCGCCACACGCGATCTAGCCTTATTATAAGAATAAAAAAGGAAAAATAAAAGCCAACTACACGGTACGGTACGTGCTCCAATACAAAAGCCAATTTACATTTTTCCAACAAAAACTTGGAAAACAAATGTAGTGTTGAGGTTTTAATAAGAACTGACTGAAAACTAAAAGATCGTTTTAAATACGATCGTTCCAGTTATTTGAAAACAGTATTCAAATACAGTATTTATATTGTTATACAAATATAATCTTTATTACTTAAAACTAGAATTGCTTTCAAAGTGTACTAAAATCTAAGTTTTGGACATTTAGAAAACAAAATAAAACTATTACAGTAGAAATGAATATTTAATTTCTTGTGTTTGCTTTGTATCGTTCAGTGAAAAGGAATGTTGCGCAGACCACATCGTTAATACAGTAAAATAATTTTCGCATATTACTATAGCTATGCCTAAGTTTCTATAAACAATTGTATTTTACGGCAAAATTGATTGCTTAAATATATTTTTTTCCAAAAAAAATATCATAGAACTGTATTCTA